ACTGACCTGGGGCATACCCAATCTGGGCCAAGATCCGTTGAACTGGGGGCTGCAACGGCAGCCTGACGCCCTGCTGAAGGACGTCGGTGAAGAACGCAACCTCACCGTCCTCAGGGTTGCTCAGGGATTCGGTAGGGCTCGGGATCCTCATCCCTACCGAATTGGGAATCCTATACTCCGCCCTAATCCTCTCCAGCTCTCGGTAGGTCAACTTATTGGGCGGTAGGTAATCTACGTCAAAGAGCTGCTCCCTCGGTACCCCCATCGGTATCCTTTGGTTCCCTCTGCTCACTATTGTCACCCTCGGTAGGGTAACTGGCTCGGAAGTCTCCTCACGCCCAGAAGTAGAAGCCTCTTCACGGTGACTGGAAGATGCCTCCGGCATCCGGGCGTCTTCCGCTTGAGGTTCGGGATGCTGGCTCAACCCAGCCTGCCGACCATCACTGTAAACAACAGCCAACGGCAGGGGCTGACTGGTCATGAGCCCCTTACCGATTCCATGGGTGGGCGCAGGTCTAACCCTCTCGCCAACTACTTCCACCTCTGAACCACTATCGCTATCGGTATCAAACCCCGACTCCTCACTGTCGGTAGCCCTTCTCATATCTGGAGACTCGTTCTCGAACGCGTTAGGCTAGCTCTCGAATCCCGACTCGCTATCAGACATCTACAAAAACAACGGAAGGAAACTAAGGGCCATACAGGGGACTATCCTACCGATGCCCACGTCTCTACCTATGGCAACTAGACTCCCGAACCACACCCCACTTGCATAAAGTTCTAAGTCTAGTTCAAACCAAGGAAGGACGTACGCATAACGAAGGGAAAAGGAAAAAGTTACTGAACGGTACCTTGTATGAACCGAGGTGCAAAGACCAAGATCGTCTGGCCACCGTTCGCCTGGAGTGGAAATCGCCTTGCCTCCCGAATGAACTCGCCTGAAATCGCCTCTGTTACCGTTTACTCTCGTTGGAAATCGCCTGGACAGAGCTCGGTTACCGAACGGTACCTTGTGTGTTGGAAGTAAAAGGCTCAAAATTGCTTCTAGTACCGTTTGACGTTGCTGGAAATCATCTGTATTGCCGTCTGCTCACGCCGGAAATCGCCTGTATTGCCGTCTGCTCACGCCGGAAATCGCCTGTGTTACCGTTCGCCTTCGTCAGAAATCGCCTGGACAGAGCTCTCGCCTCACTCACAAACGCAAAGTGAGCTTCACCTCAGCGACTCCCTCTATTTATAGGGCAAAAGTCGCAACGGTATGCCTCGAAAGAACAAACGGCGCATTAATGGCGCCGCTCCGCGTGATTAGACACGCCACGTGTCGTACGCTGGGTGGAACTTCTGACAGAACGCTGGGTGCAGAAGACGAAGCGTCATTCTGTCCCATCATTACCCTTCACTGTGCGTGAGACGCATGAGAAAATCAAACTCGCCCAAGTTAACAAGACATCGACAAGCATCCCTCGGAACCTTTTTAACATACTAAGACCTGCCGAACGGTAACCCCTGAGGTGGCGACCCTTGAGCTTCCGGATAAAACTTTGAAGTCGATCGGCACCAGGACAAGGCCCCAGCGCGCCTCCCTGACAGACTACCGAACGGTAGATTAACCGAGCGCCTACCGAAGGACATACAAGTCCCCGACCGAGAAATCTCGCTCGAGAACTTGGGGGACTCCTGTTTACACCCAAAATAAACAGCCAATAAGGGCAAGACACGTGGAGGAAATTGGGCTTGGTCAGAGGAGCCCTCGGCACCCTACCTGCCGATCTCTTCATTAGGGCAACGCCCTCTCCAGGTACACATGGCGCGCTCCCAAGTGACGCCCACAGTCCCACATCGAAATTATCAACAAAATGCACACCTCCCAAGGCCTATAAAAGGAGGCCAACTATCCCAAAGTAGAGGTAATCAGAACTTACGGCATACAAGCCTATTGATCTGTCAGTTAAACTTTCTATTCCCGAACTTACTTAAGCATCGGAGAGCCTTCGGCCGGTACCACACCGGTGCCCTAGGTCTTACCGTGCGTTTGCCTTTATTGCAGATCGCACAGCCTACCGAAGCATCAAGTCTACCGAATACACAAATTTACTAAGTTGACCCTCAAAGCCAGGAACCACTTTTTGGCGTCAACAATAATAATAATAATAATAATAAAAGAAAGCTCGCCATTTTATGTTGAGTCGAAAGCTTGATAGAAAGTTGGGCCTCTGGCCCGCCATTTTTTACCCTGAGAAGTACATAAATTTGACCAGGTCAGTTAAAAGAAAAAATAAAATGTGCAAGGCAATCATTATTGACTGGGGAGATGCATCGAACAATCCGAGTGGTCAATCATCTCTCCTCCTATAGTATTTTTCGGCCTTCAAACGGTTAAGTAACCACTCTTGTCTCAACGTGCGTCCGTAACTGACCACATTTTATGGACTACATGTAATGAGCCAATTAACAATCAATCAAATATGTATTGCCATCTTGATTCACGACTAAGCATGCATGAAAGGAGGCTACCTAGCCTAGCTATGAGTACAAATTATAAAACATAATGATTGAAATTGGTACTTAGGTAAAGGGGGTAAATTAAAACCCCAATGGATAGAGCGAAGACAACAATTAATGATTACATGTTTATAGTAATAATATGACTGCTCAACAACTAGTCATAGACCTAAGAACAAACAAACACATCACAAACTCACTACAAATCAAATATTAAAACTTGCAAGCCTAAAAGAGAACTATTTGACAACCTAAACACTCAGAAGGATTTGTCAATCTAAGCATCCCTTGTGCTAGCAACAAGTAGAGTAAAAGGTTTGTCAACATTCATCATAGTATTACAGAGATAATAAATATAATATGACTAGTCATAAATTCAAGAACAGCACACCATAAATGTTCACCTAGAAACTCATCACTGGGAAAAACTGTGGGTCATCATCCGACCATTAAATCCACTAAGTCAAGAAGGTTCTTACAGAGATTACAAGCTCAAGCAGTTCTAGGTCTATTTAGGAAATTAGCACTACCTACCTGCAGTGGCGCATCCACATAGGGGCAAGGGGGGGCAATTGACCCCTGCAAATTGCCCAGAAGGTGTTTGATGAAATGCCTCAAAGAGGGAGCAGCCACAACCCACAATCAGAGGAGAGAACCTTGTAACGACACAAATTAATGTGCTAATCACCCAACTATAAATACACGCAAGTGCATGAAAATGTTCAGAAGGATTGTTTTGAGTCTTGTATTAGTTTTAGTTTTGCTCAAGGACTAGGAAAAGATTGACCCTTGGAATGAAAATTCCTGGATCCGCCATTGCCTACATGTGCAACCTTCTTCTCCAACTTAGTGGAGCTAGTATCTCGTCCTTCATGAAAAATACAGCTAGTCCATCAACTTCTTCACTTCATGGCATCGCAACTTAGCTTTGGATCGAACATACATAATGAAATATTGATTCTGAGATGAAATGGTCAATTCCTTCTAGAAACCATACTCTTGAAGAAATCAACCAAGAATCTGACTAGTCAAAATGAACCCATATGCATATTTTAAAAGTACAGCAAATTTCAAAAACCATTTTCAAAATCTCACAATGAAAAACCTAGACTTCACCAAGTAGAGAATGCAGAGTAAAATTACTCTAAAAAATTCTCAATGGATGAAGTAGATTTCGAAAATAGAAGCAAATTTCAAAAAATATTTGAAACCCTTATTTCCAGAAGCTATAAACACTCTTAGACAAAACAAAGAGAAAACCAAGTTTTCCAAAATAGTGCAAATGAAAGAGATGAGAGATTAAAACTTTGATGTGCAAAGCTATGGTCATATTTTCTATATAAATAAATAAATAAGCAGCTTTCAAAATGAAATCTTGAAAACTCATTTCCATGTCATGAACACTCTCAGACAAACCAAAGAAAAAACCAAGTTTTCCAAAGTGGTGCAATGAAAGAGATAAGAGTTTAAAACTTTGATGTGCAAAGCTATAGTGAGATTTCTCAAAAAGAAGTAGGTTCTGAAATGAAATCTTGAAATTCCATGCCATGAACATTCTCAGACAAAACAAAGAGAATATTGTATCGATCAAGCTTTCAAAGTAAGTTAGTATGTAATGCATTGTTAAACTAGAACAAACTCGAGCATAGAGACTATGTTGCGCACGACTCGATATGATCAATTATGATTGGTTAGATTAATTTATAATTTGATATAAATTTTGATTTTATTAATTGATGTTTATTTTAGTTAAATTAATTGATATTGATTTTGGTTAGTATGAGAGTCCGCCACTGATATTGAAGATATCGACTAATTAATATTTATTTTGGTTAATATTGCATCTCCTTCAGAAAAATTCTGGATCCGCCACTGGAAAGACTGAATGAGAAAAATAAAAGAGAAAGAAGAAGAGAGAGAAAAGGCGCATAAGAAGGAAAAGAGAGAGAAAAAAATAAAATAAAAAAGTGGCAGGGAGATAGGTTTGGGCTTGGGGATTAGGTATTAGAGGTTGCTACATTTTAGGCTAATTGCGCTTGAAATGGCTAATGGACATGAATATCTAAAACAAATAAGAAAATACTTTTTTCAGAAAGTGGGAATTCTTACTTTCCTGCGAATCACAATTTGACATGTGTAGAGATTTTTTCTTTTATGTTCTTTAGAATTATTTTTGCATATGTGTCAAAACGTAATTTGCAGAAAGTAGAAACACATCCTTCCCAAACAGTTTCCAAAAAATAATATCTCACGCAACTGGTCTGGTTTGGTACGGACCTGCAGATTCATCACAAAAATTGGGATTGAAATCGGACCGGTTCAATTTGGTATTCAACCTAAGTTGATTTATTTAGTGAACTCGGTTTTTTTTATTCATTATTATTTAAATCTCCTTCGGCCCAGTTCAATCCGGTTAATCGGTTCTGAAGTTCCAATGCCCACCCTTATAATATTAGTAGGTTGATCTTTTGTCTTTTTTCAACTTATTTTATCAGTGTGGCTGACCGTGGACAGTATATAGCGGTTAAAGAGCCTTGGGGAGCAGAGCCTGTGGGTTGGGGTGGAATAGTTAATCAAGATGTTTGATTTGTTTGCTCGGATGACCGAGATTGAAAACAAGACAGGTAAGGAGGTTCAGATAAAAGAGGTCGAGAGAGGTGATAAATCGGGGGGAAAGCTAGTTGTTAGGATACCAGATGAGAGTCGCAAATTGATAAGAGCGAAGAAATTCCTAGATCATAGTTCTTATGATGGTGTTCCCAGATCCGTTCATGTCATCGCAACTGCTAATGGTACGACGACCACGATGGTCCTTACAGCACAGTATTTCAATACCAACGGACGAGTCACCTTTGAAGTAGAAAAAGAAACAGGAAAACTGGTGGCGAAGGCAGAAACGATCCCCCAAAAAAGCAACTTCATGAGGTAAATGATCCCTCAGTTGTCAACTTGTATTGATATACATATGTGTGTATGTGTGTGCAATATCAATAAATTTTCCTAATGTCATGAGTTGTGAATTGCAGGCTTTTCTCAGACTCTTCACGGGTACAGTGATGAGGTAAATGATCGGTATCATCTCTCTCTAATATATATATTTCAGTGCATAGATGTTCAAGCCAATTCCCCATGGATATGTGGATCTGTGTTTACCTCTTTAAGGTTGGATATGTAGCCTTACAAAATAGGACGCGGATCCTCTGCTTGGTTTTTTCTAGCTTGGATCTGCTTGACTTTCTTCAGAGCATGCATGGCACATCATTTAAACATCATCCGAAAGCAAAAAACATAAAACCACATATTTTTCCCTTGGCAGCTCTTTCTTCTTCATTTTAGCATTCTCTCACAACCAAACCAAGCTTTCAGCGGCTTGGCCAAAAAAAAGAGAAACCAAACAAGCAGCCCCTTTCAATCACTCCTCCTCGTCTCAAAACGTATAATTTGTTCATCTTTCAATTAGGGAAGTTTCATGTAAGTCCCTTGTAAAAGACCTTGTTTTCTCCAATTTTCCTCCACGGAAGTAGCCACGCGTATCAGATCAGGACTTATATCAGGAAGCAAGGTATTCAACGGTATTTTTGAGAGAATGCTAAAATGGAGAAGAAGGCAGCTAGGGAAAACTATGTGGTTTCTTGTTTTTCGTGTTTGGATTATTTCTAAATGACGTGGCATGCTCAGAATAAAAATCAAGCAGATTCAAGTCTAAAAAAAAAAGCAAAGAATAAAAAGTAAAAACTATAATAATTAAATTTAGGGGTTTTTTTCTTGCCTTTTTTTTTTTTTTTCATGATTGTGATCGATTTGCTGACTGTGTTTTCCGTGACCACTTTATAGTTTGCTGAGAACTGGAGTTCGTTGAAATCGGTTTCACTGTGAGTGTTTTTGTTCGTTCAACTTGGTGAATTTTGTGTTGGACAAGATTGTATTTCCTAGTTTCTGTTCTGGTTTGGATTGCAGGGAGTCGTGACAATATGGGCTAGTTTGTTATTGTTTTGCTTTCAATAAAACTGCTTTTTAAAGCAGTCAGAGTGTTTCACAATCTGAGTTTGTAAATGTGATGTCAAAGTGTTGTAAAATTTTTATGTAAAAGGGACTTGTTATTTACTTATTATGTGTTGTAAAAAATTTATGTAAAAGGGATGTGTTATTTACTTATTAATAGCAAAGCCAAAATGCCAACCGGATTCTAGCACAATGAAAAAGGGCATTGACAAGTTCAAATCCTCATGATGTTTTCAAAGTGTGTGAGGAAGGAACTCCCTTCTCTTGTAGTTTAAACTATCACTTGTATTAAAAATAAATAAAAAATCAAGCCAAAATTTTAAAAGATCATGCGACAATGAGCTGGGCACCTATAATATAGAATTTCTGAGGCATCATTCTTAGCAATCTCGTTTCACACGCCAAGTTTAAAATAATCACGCCACCAATGCTTGTTTACAATATTTCTTATAATAGAAAATTGACGCGCTATATAAAAATTACTTTTGTTTGCCTTGTCAAAGAAGGCCATCTCTCGTTGCGTTTACGGAAATGACAATGCGTCACTTAGAGTACGACATCAAATATTATTGAAATTCCGGAGACGAAAATGTGAAAAGGTATATTCTGAGAATCATTGCTGCAATCAAGCTTCATTTTTAACGAAGCTATGAGTCACATTTTCAGATCCTGAATATACAATTTCATTTTTCGGTTCCCATTTTATAGAAATATTTTTCAAAAAAAAGAAAACACTTTATAACAATTTCTAATTCTTACAGTTGACTTTTTTTGTGTGGAGGTGATTGGGGGAGGGGGTTTACACACATATTTATTGAGTGTCTCAGTTTTATATTTTCACACTGCCTGATATGTTTGAATTGTACATGATGAATAAAAATTGGTTGTATTAAAAAAGAAAACAACTTTTAAATTCTATAATCTATACCAAACCGAAGCTTGACCAAAGTGAGTCTGAAGACAAGTTCAAATCTCGCGAGAAGAAGCACAACCAACAGTAAGGGTGGAGGTAATTAAGGTAGCTGACGATGAGTTGATGAGCATCAACCCACTTAAGATATTCAGGATTGGAGGTGGCAGGCACATCACCAGAGGCAACTACCGTAAGAATCGGGGTGAGCCCGATTGCATAGACTCTTTCGACGCCTTTTTGGGCCGAGGAGGAGCTGTAGAAGCCGTGGCCGTTACGGTTGGAGAGGAGGGAAGTGGAGAGAAGGTTGTTGAGGTTTGTGTGGTAAGTTGCCTTCGTTGGGAAAACAGAACTTGGACAGGTAACGTGGCTGAGCAACCACGAATTGAGTGATTAGGTTAATGGAGGTAATTAGTAGAATAATTAGAAAAAGTAACGAATGAAAGCTAATTGATTAAAATTATATACATGATGTATATCAATTTGACTAATTGAATATGTTAAACAAGTAAATTACGTATGAAATAGTGAGAGGGCGGCTGTCGTTGAGTGGAGGGTGAGAAGAAGTGAGGACAAGGCCGGCGAGAATAATTTTTAAGGTTTCACCGCCCTTGTTGACCACACCCAAGTGCTTACGTTGTCGACGTGTGAACTTGGTTCAAAAGAAAACGGGGATATTCCTTTTTGTTGGAAGAAAACTAGACTTTACGAAACTGGAGGTTCCATACATGCGTAATTAAAATTCTGAAAGTATGAAATGTGTAATTAAAATAATATTCGAATTTGCCAACGGAATTAACCCAGTGGAAAAGGGCCCCTAACTTGCAGATGAGAGGTCTCAAGTTCGAATTCTTACGGCATCATAGTTGTGTGTGAGAAATCATATTCCCATGTAGTTTAGACTATCGCTTATATTAAAAATAATAATATTTTAATTTGCCGTGGTAAGTTAATAGGAAAGAGCCAATCAAAGACTGGCCGGTTTAAACTCCAAACGTAAAGCATGGACAACAAATATCATTGTCAAGTATATATGTTAATCATTCCAGGAAACTTCGTGAATTTTTTGGATGAGGAGATACGGTCAATTGTCCTGATAATTGCTCAAGATGATGTAGATCTATGAGAAATTATAATATGTGGGGTCTAGTCTTTCTAGATTTTTTTTAATAAAAAAACATATTTTGAATTCAAAACAATCTTTAGTTATGTAGACAAAGTAAACGATTTTGGGATAAAACTTTTAGTTGATCCAGGTTTAATGACTGAATATTCTTTTTTAAGAAGGCGATAAGGACAAAATGGTAGACTGTCCCTTGGCTTGATCATATCAAAATTTCAGACTTTTCTACTAAGCGGTTATTCTCTGGCGATAAAACAAATGAGCAGTGCGCGGTGCTGGAATAATGATATTTTGGGCCTTTATTGCGTTTTTGGAGCCCAAGATGACCTTAGATGGGTTCGTGACCTTCTGGAGAAGTGTTCATAACGTTTTTATCTTTAAAACAAGCTATCTTGGGCTGGATTTGGAGGAGATTTGAGGCCAAAACGTGGCTGGACAGATTGTTGGCAGATTCTCCTAATCCAATTTGGATTTTATATCCTAGTATTATTTTATTTTAACCTAGTTTCCTTATGGGGATTAGGCAGCTGGGTTTTAGGAGTTATTTAAGTTATTTTCATAGATAATAGAGGACTTCTCTTTTGGCTTTTGAACGCGACTTTTGCTAGGATTTTCAAACTTTTTCCATTCAAGGTGTTTTTTATCTTTATTATTTTAATGAAGAACTTGATTATTTTTATTATGAACATGCGTAACTAACTCTCTTTTGCTAGGGTGAGGCCACGAGCCTTAGCAAGAATATGTAGTTTCTGTCCAATTTGCTTATGATTATATGCATGCAGGTTTTCGAATTATTCATCACTGGGTTAAACTATCTAAGTGTCTTGATGCTTGATCACCATTTGGATGTTTAGAAAAGTAATTTGATGCAATTTTGGTCGGAGGTCGGTCCCTGAAATTGACAAAGGCTTCTTGTGATTAATATGTGCAAGTTCACTCACTACTACAAAAAGGGAAAAAGACGACCTGTAAACAACGACGGTAGATCAAAAAACCGTTGTTGTTTTTTAAAAGACGACGGTAATAGAAACCCGTCGTAGAAACATACTTTAAACACCTAAAAAACGGCACACGTATAGATATTTTGAAACCACGACGCACCAAATTAAAAAAGCGTCGTCTTATTA